AGGCAATACCATGTACCATGTGATCTTCATTAATGCCCATTGGAGCCATATATACCACTTACCATAATATGGGTGTCCATTATGCATCTATTATTTGTCATTACTACTATCTGGTTGCCTACTGCAGCCATAGGTTGTCATCATCATCTGTTGCCATAGGGTKTTCCATACCTACTACTACTACTGCTGCTGCTGCTGCTGCTACTGCTGCTATATTGTTAATTACCATAGGTAATTGTCCTGCTCTACCATCTGTTGCCATAGGATATCATGCCACACTATTCTCTATTGTCTGTTGCCATATAGGATGTCATGCTATAAAATCTGTTGCCACAGGTTGTACTCTACCATCTTTTGTTGTAGGTTATCATACTCTACCATTTGTTGCCATAGTTGTAATGCTATATTTACCATCTGTTGTCATATAGGATGTTATGCTATACAATCTGTTGTCATAGGTTATACTTTACCATCTGTTGTCATAGGTTATCATACTCTACTATTTGTTGCCATAGTTGTAATGCTATACTTGCCATCTGTTGTCATATAGAATGCCATGCTATACTATTTGCTGCCATAGGTTGTGATGCTATTCCATCTGTTGTCATAGGTTGTCATGCTCTACCATCTGTTACCATACCTGCGTATTGCATTTTTCTCTGCATTTCCGTGGTGTTTCAGGCCATTTTCTCCAATATTGAGCGATTTATTGACGATTGCTCATCAGACGTTCAATATTAAAGTAAATGTCCAAAAACCTCACAGAAATACAAATTAAAATACAACACATGTAGAGAACTACATCATGACGTCTATRGGGGTGTCTATACCAGCTTGAATCTAGTGTAATCATACATCATCTGTTTGTTTAACACTGTTTTCTTTTGCCGCCAATGAAGGTCATAAACTATACCTGTATCTAAGTGCCTTATAGTGCATCTTCTATTGTCCATACTACCATGCTGTCTACCATATCAATCTAATATATACAGTATCAAATGTTGCCATAAGATATACTATACCTGTATCCATGCAGTGCCACAGTATATACTATACTATATCATCCATGGTCATGGGGTGCTATACTGTATACCTTCCTTGCCATAAGGTGCTATAACTATATCGTCCATTGTCATAGGGTGCTATACTATATCATCCATTGCCATAAGGTGCTATAACTACTTC